CCAGTTACCACCCAGTTAGTCTACTCCTGATCATCAGTAAAGTGATGGAAGATGTCAACAACAGTGCTATCATGCAGCACCTGCTCAGTGATGCCCAGTTCGGAATCTGCTAGGGCCACTCTTGAAGGTTCTGCATGATAGACTGGTTAGTAAGGTTAGATCACATGTGTTACAGGGGGAGTTAGTCAATTCAATATAAAATTAGCTTGAAGGTAGAAGGGAGAGGGTGGTGGTAGAGGGTTGATTTTTTTGACTGGAGGCCTATGACCACCAGTATATCATATGGATCGGTGCTGGGTCCACAGCTTTTTGTCAGTTATTTAAATGAGTTGGATATGAATATAGGAGGTAGGTTCATAAGTTTGCAGATGACACCAAAATTCATGGTTTTGTGGACAATGAAGCAGGTTATCTTGGAGTGTAAGGAGACATTGATCAGATGGGCTGATGGTCATAGAGATGTACAACATGGAAACAGACCTTTTGGTCCAACTTGTCTATGATGATCAGATATACCGAATTAATCTAGTCCCACTTGCCAGCATTTGGCCTACATTTCTCTAAACGCCTTCTACTTATGTACCCATCCAGATTCACTTTAAATATTGAAATTGTATCAGCCTCCACCACTTCCTCTGGAAGCTCATTCCATATACACACCACCCTCTGTAGGAAAAAGTTGTCCCTTATATCTTTCCCCACTCATCTTAAATCTATGCTCTCTAGTTTTGGACCCCTACCCTGGCAGATGGTATTTAATTTAGATAAATGTGAGGCATTATATTTTGATAAGGCAGGCCAGGGCAACACTTATATACTTAACGGTAGGGCCTGGGGGATTGTTGCCAAACAAAGAGACTAGGGGTGCAGGTTCACAGTTCCTTGAATGTGGCATCAAAGTTAGACAGGGTAGTGAAGAAGGTGTTTGGCACGCTTGCCTTCATTGGTGAATGCATTGAGAATAGGAGTTGGGACATCACGTTGTGCCTGTACAGGACATTGGTGAGGCCACTTTTAAAATATTGCATTCAATTCTGGGTCCCCTGGTATAGGAAAGAGTTGTTCAAATTCAAAGGGTTCAGAAAAGATTTATAAGATGGTTCCAGGATTGGAGAGTTTGAGCTATAGGGACAGACTGAATAGGTTGGGGCTATTTTCCCTAGAGCATTGGAGACTGAGGGATGCCCTTATAGAGGTTTATAAAATCATGAGGAGCATGGAAAGGGTAAACAGACAAGGTCTTTTCCCCAGGGTGTGGGAGTCCGCAACTAGAGGGCGTATGTTTAAGGTGAGAGAGGAAAGATTTAAAAGGGACCTAAGGGGTAACTTTTTCACAGAGTTACTGAATCTCCCACCATCAACATCCTGAGGGGTTACCATTGACCAGAAACTCAGTTGGACTTACCACATAAAAACAGTGGCTACAAGAGCAGGTCAGAGGCTAGGAATACTGCAACGAGAAACTCACCTCCTGACTCCTCAAAGCCTGTGCACCATCTACAAGGCACAAGTCAGGAGTGTGATGGAATACTCCCCACTTGCCTGAATGGGTGCAGCTCCAACAACACTGACAAAGTTTGACACCATCCAGGACAAAGCAGCCTGCTTGATTGGCACTACATCCACAAGCATCCATTCCGTCCACCACTGAAGCTCAGTAGCAGCAGTGTGTACCATCTACAAGATGCCCTGCAAAAATTCACCAAAGATCCTCAGACAGCGCCTTCCAAACCTACAACTACTCCCATCCACAAGGACAAAGGCAGCAGATACATGGGAACACCACCACCTGCAAGTTCCCCTCCAAGCCATTCACCATCCTGACTTGGAAATATATGGCCATTGCTTCAGTGTCGCTGGGTAAAAATCCTGGAATTCCCTCCTTAAGTGTATTGTGGGTCAACCTACAACAAGTGGTTTGTAGTAGTTCAAGAAGGCAGTTCACCACCACTTTCTCAAGGGCAACTCGGAACGGGCAATAAATGCTGACCCAGCTAACAACACCTACATCCCACAGGTGAATAAAACAAACAATTAAAGCAATAAAACCCCACGCTTATGTTGCATAAAAGTTTGGTAGGCATTGTTTGTAAACAACAAAATCACCATAATCTCTTTTAATCTTTTGACTGTGCAGCTCCACACAATAAATGTTTTGCAACACAATGATCTCCAAAAGTCCATTCTCCTGTTTGCTTAATTCATAAAGATATGTATTCCCAACAATTCAGAAGATAAAATGAATGCGCTGCCAGATGGAGTATAATATGGAAAATGTGAACTTTTTCCATTTTGTTCAGAAGAATAAAAAACAAAGCATTGTGCAGATGGAGATAAATTGCAGAAGTCTACTGTACAGAGAGTTCTGAGTGTTCTATTACATGAATGTTGAAATATTAGTATACAGGTACAGCAGTGATTATGTGGATGAATGGAATGCTGTTTATCACAAGCAGAATGGAATATAAAAGTAGGGACTTTTGCTACAGATGGTGAAACCACATCTAGAATAAGAATAGTAAGTTTTTCTGAACTTCAGCCATAGCATCTGTGGAGAGAGGAACAGAGTTAACAATTCTAATATGACTCCTCTTCAGAATAGAAGAGAGGTAAAACTGTGCTGGTCTTAATTCCTGTTAAAACATGAGGAGGGCAAATGGAACCAAAGGAAGGTCAGGCAAAGCCAAAGGGCGCGGAAGGTTAGAGATCAAAGCTGTCGTGGAACAAAAGACAATGTGAGTGATAATGGTTGCAGTGAAGGAATTAAACATTGGTCCACAGTAAATGTTAATAGCAGAGTAAAAGACAGTTCTCTCTGAAAACAAAAACGTGAAAACAAGATACAGACACCAAGGATGCAAAAATAACAAAATGACAGACAGTGTACATGGCCTTTCGTTGCTGAACTCAATGTTGAATCCAAAAGGTGGTAAAATATCTAAAGTGAAAATGTGGTGCTGTTCCTCCAACTTGCATTGGGCTTGACTGGATCACTGCAGTGATCAAATTAAATGAAAGCATGAGAACAGGATGGTATTCTGAGATGGCCAGTGACCAGATTCATTGTTGTGGACTGAAAGAAGGTGTTCTGCAAATTGGACTCCCAGTCTGTGTTCTGTGTTTCACCTCTCTATAGAAGAGACCGGACCATGAGCAGCAATTACGTAGACTAGAGTGAAAGAAATATAAATCAATCCCTGCTTCATTTGAAAAGAGTGTGTGGGGCTTTGGACAGTGAGGAAGGGGGATAAAAAATGTGTTATACCTTCTGAAATTGTGTAGGAAGATATAATAAAAACTGAAAGAACAGCGGATGCTGTAAATCTGAAACAAAAACAGAAATTGCTGGAAAAGCTCAGTAGATCTGGCAGCATCTGCAGAGAGAAAGCAGAGTCAATGTTTTGGGTGGAGTGACCCTTCCTCAGAATGACGTAATGGTTGGAGTGATAGAGAAGTGGAGCACGGTGCTGTACAGGGAACAGTTCTTCTGGAATTTTGACAGGTGTGGGAAGGGTAAGATATGTTTGGTGGTGGCATCATGCTGGAGATGGTGGAAATGCCAGACAAAGATCTTTGAATACTGAGCTTGGTAGAATGGAAAGTGAGGAAAAGGTGAACCCTATTGCGGTCCTGGGAGGTACAGGAAGGGGTGAAGGCAGAAATACAGGAAAACGAGATGGACAAGCCTGAGGGGCTGGACGACCACATCTGGAGAACAGTGTACAGTTTTGGATTCTTTATTGAAGAAAAGATATAACCGCATTAGAACTAATTGGAGTTAGAGAAATGATCAGCTGTGATCTCATTGAGTGATAGAAAAGGTTGGAGGGACTAAATGGTGACCTGCTGTTCCTGTATTCTTATGTCGCTAGGTTCCTATTTGCCAATAGCGGTGTTTTGCACTGAGAGGAGGTCAGAGTTTGTCTCAGAATTCGTTCTGAACAGGGTATAGATGTGGACGGCGTATAGATGTAGACTGTATTTAGGTTTGGGCAGTGTTTAGATTGTACAGAGTAAGGCTGTCGAAGGTGACATCGTGACTACAAACCTGCCTAATGCAATGATAAAAACCGAAAGAACTGCGGATGCTGGAATTCAGAAACAAGAACTGAAATTGCTGGAAAAGCTCAGCAGATCTGGCAGCATCTGTATTGTTCTGAGGAAAGGTTACTAAGGTTAATTATGCTTCCTCTTCACACATGCTGCCAGACCTGCTGAGCTTTTCCAGTAATTTCTATTGTTAATGCAATGATGATCTGTTTCATGTCAATTCAAAAGTCGGGCCATCTGTCCCGAGTTAAAGCCCAAGCTTTGCAGTTACCCTGTAATTTGCTGCATCTCCATTCATTTCAGGCTCACTGTTAATGGACTATGCGTCAGTTCTATTAAGGGAGCTATTCCCAAGTGAAACAGCAAGTTCCATTTCAATGCAATACAGTATTCCACGTAGAGATTGCCAGAGAAATCATTGTACAATATCTCTATCCCTGATCCCAAACTCGTACTGTCCAGAGCAAAGGCTCGAAATTTCACAAATGGAGGGCTGCAGAGTTAGCGTGTTTGATATCAGCCAAGATTTTGCCAGGTGATTAAACACATTGTATGGGTATCTTGTCAATGTTTGAATTGGATTCTAACCAGTGTTATTCCTGGTTCCAGATTAATGCTGTACCTACATTGTAACTGCAGCACTGGTGCACTGCTCAGCAGGGAAATGTGTAATGGTGGTGGGTGTGCACTGGACATTTCAGAGGCTGTCATTTATAAATTTGCAAACTAATGATGAATAATTTCTGCTTTCCACATCCTGCATACTTTCTGTCCCTCTCACAGAATTCTGTGTAAACAGAATCAGGAGGAGGCCATTCAGCCCATGGTGTTGTGTGCTGGCTCTTTGGCAGAGCCATCCAATCAGCTGATTGATTCTTTTATTCTGAATTTTTCGAATTTATTCGTTGTTCAATTCTGCAACTGTAACCCGGTGAATTTGCCGCCAATAGATACCATTATTATGGGATAGCAGTGAAGGAGAGTTCGCCCTATTACGATGTGATGTATTCCAAAAAAGGAGCAGCTTGGGTAAACGAAACAGGGAAGAAAGAAGTGGCAAAGCAGACGGTGGCGTATTCACCACGATCCAAGCTGGGTACCTTGCTGCCAGAGTTTCCAAATGTCAAAGATCTAAATCTGCCAGCAAGCCTCTCGGAGGAGAAGGTAAACACACAATGAGTGACTGATCCATTATCTGTGCTGTTTCACGCCAGTGCACAAATTAAATGTAGATCATCCTGTCTCCCAGATAAAATGAACGGATTTAAAAAAAAAACCATGTAGCCTCTTTACAAAAGTGCAGTTTAGCTTTTAATGAGAATTCAGCATTTACCCGCTGCCATCCATCCAAAGCAAAGTGTGGAAGAAGTGGAAATATTAAATGTAGGTACAGCATGTGTTTGTTGCTGTATGTGAGCCACTTCCCATTGCACTCCATCCCATATTACCGGCACATCTTCCATTCCTTTGCTCTCACCATCTGTTGTCTAGCTTCCCTTAAACACATCTGCGCTATTCATCTCAACAACTCCATGTGGCAGCAAGTTCCACATTCTAACCATGTAGCTGTTCTATGGCTTGTTGTATATCAGTGCAGATATAACACAGATTTCTGCTTGTGTAAGGTTTTGTTTGCAGTGCTTTTAAATGTCTGTTCCATGTGTTAGTTCTGATTTTCTCTTTCTTCGTCATCATTGTTTACTTTTCCTTGAATCCATACCCCAGCTTAACCAATCGAGCACTGTGAACATCAACTGTAAAGAGCCTCACCTAATCAAACACAGAATAACTGAACACTGGACTATCTTCTATTTATTGCTCCTAATTTAGGGCAACAAGTAATCATTGTTTTGCATTAATGATTTATGTTCTGTTCCAAGTGCTGATGCACTAGAATGATTAGATAGGGTGCAGTATAGTTCTGATAAAGAAATGTCTTCGAAAAGGAGCAAGAATTTAGATTGAGTTCTTGGAAAGAAGGCTAAGTTAGGCCATGTGTGAAGAATGCAAATCACTCAATTACCTTTCAATGACTCACCACATAGAGCTACATGGATTGAGAGGCTGAGGAGATGCACTAGTGCAGACCATGTCAGAGTGACTGGTCACAGAAAGTGATACACACTGGCCTGACTGGTGCTGAACCACCAAGAATGGAGGAAATCCCTTCTTCGTCACTGCTGAGCTGGCGGATGGGCATTTAGACATTGTGAGGGATGTGATTCCTGCTTCCTGAAGAATTCCCATCTGCATGCCACAGTGAATGAAACAGGGCATTCTCAGTTCCCAACTCCACTCAGTAGTTCATCTCCTCTCACATTCCCAACACCTCTTCACTTGTTTAACTCTTATTTCTGTGCTGGTCAATGATAAGAAGGCTTCAGAATGAGTTCACCTTATTGACCATGAGGGATGATGTCAGGAGATCATCTGACTTGTGAACTCATCAGCAAAGTTTCAGCAAAGCAGTCTGCAGGGCCAATCAAACAATTAAAAATTGGTCATGGATTTTTAGAGTGAGTATTGGTGGGTTTCTCCATGAAGAGTTAACTATAAAAGTATCAATCTTTGGCAATATGAAAGTCCCCAGGCAAGGCTCCTCAAATGATCATGGTTGCAGATGGCATTGTTCAAATTGTCAACCTCCCAGGAGAATAGGGATGGCGTGGCTCTGCCTCTTTATTCACCCACCCACTTGGTTAGTTGCAATAGTATCCCCTCCCTTTTGGATTGCTTGCGCCCAGATCTTAATGATCCAATTTAACTAGGTTTTCGTAAGTTAACAAAAAGTGACTTTATTGGTTACTGAACATGTGACATAATAAAAGAACACACGTGAGAAGTGAGTCCAAAAAAAATAAAGTTAAAATATATATGGATCAGTCACTAGGTCTCTCATGAAGAGCAAATAGTTTAACATTGACAGGCAAGCAGTTCATTCCAAAATTCTTGGCTTTGAAGGTTAGCTGAGTTTTCTTTCTTGTTTCTTTTGACTGTCTTGCTGCTTCAGAGTGAGAAAATGTTTTACCCACAATGCAGGGTGACTAGTGAATGGTTCTTTGATTTTGATTTTTACAGCACACAACGGTAAAACCCAAGCTAGCCGACAAGTACCTCAGCACACTAGCAAACAGAGATAACAAGGTGTAGACCTGGATGAACATAGCAGGCCAAGCAGCATCAGAGGAGCAGGAAGGCTGACGTTTCGGGCCTAGACCCTTCTTCAGAAAGGGTCTAGGCCTGAAACGTCAGCCT